CCAAAACTGCTATACCAAACAGGCCCTAAGATTGTGCAATAGGGAAAAAAAACATAAAGTATTAAAACCACATAAGCCATGCTCATCCTTCCTGACTGCATATTTTAACAAACTTTGTTTTAAATTTGGTTAAAAAAAAATTATTTGATGCTTTACACAATAGAAAAGCTAAAAATCTGAGAGATTAAGCTTGCCAAGGGAAAACTTCAGTTTAATTTGCCTCAAATATCTGCATTGAGAAACAATGGATAGTAAAAGATTAACCTACCCCTCGAAGGGTTTCTGTGTTCACATGCTTATCACACCGAACACCTCGAAAGAACAAATCCCCACCAGAAAATTGTTTACCCAAGCAAACATTCAAGGTGACTTCAGAATCATCCACATGGAAACCTATAAAAAAAAGGAAAAAAAAAAATGAAAGGTAAAAAATTTTGTCACGCAAAAACTTTAAAGACATGAGTTCAAAATTAGAGACACATTCCACTCAGACAACGCGGGTTAAATCCCTTGCCCAAGTTCCGCTATCTACAAAAATTTTCATATTTTCTGAAAAAAGGGGCAAGAAAGAAGGAAAGGGTAGAAAGAAAGAGCGAATGTTAACATCATCTGGCATCTATGATCTATTGTGAGAAAAAAGATTAAAATAGTGCATTTCATTTAATAATAAAATACTGCTTCAATTAGCGAGCAATATGAATTCTGCAGTAGAAAACAATCAGCAGAGGAAAAAAAATTGTTATAACAACTCCCTACAAACAGTAGAATCCATAACTTCCTTACAGTTTCCATCCACTTTGAGTAATGCTTTCATCTTCTAGTTACAGTGAAAGATAAAAGAACAGAACAGGCCATGAACACACAAAAGAACATAATTATTCACAGAACTAGCATCATTAATTTAACATGAAAAGACAACAGGAAACCAAAAATATAATTATTCACAGAACTAGCATAATTAATTTAACATGAAAAGGAAACAGGAAAAGAAAAAAAAAAAATTGAAGAGAAGAGGAAAAAGAAAAAGAGTAAAAATAAGCACCTACCAAGTGCTTCATCTCTATCAATTCCATATTCCACAACAAAACCATGATGAGAATCTAGTGTGGCCCCACCAACTTCAGGAAAGAAGACTGCATAATATTTTGAAAAAACAAAATAAGTCTAATTCAAACATTGAATCACATGTTTTTAGTTTTACTTACAGTCTTAGAATGCATAGAAAAGTTACTACCTTTGGATATAGTGCGGATAAAGTCTTCCATCAATCTGTCAAGCATGGCCTCCAGACCAAAGTCATCTAAAACAGCACCAAATTTGTTCATTGTGTTTGGCCGCATGATTCTGAATTTCGTTTCATATACCCATCTTTCAAAGTTTTCTACCTAAGCAATCAGAACCTGATAAGAAAAATATAATAAAAAACTAAAAGACAAGAAAAGGATAAAAGATAAACTCAGAAATCCAAATGAGAACAAGGAAGAAATGATACCTCAGACAACAATAACTCACAGAATTGTGGCTGAAGCATTTCAAAAGTAAAAACTCCTTTAACTGGTTCAGCCATTATACTTCTAAAACTTTCCTCTCTATTCTCAGTGATTGCATTAAGAAATGAGGGGACAAAGAAATTTGTGGCATTCATGGTATACAGTTCCTTATGCAGAGGCTGTCACGAGGATAATTCAGTTAAAGAGATAAAAATAGATATAAAGTTATGCAAGAAAACTGATGTCAAGTCTTATCTGCTCAAAGTAAAATAAAAAATTCTCACTTTGGTAGGTCCTAATTACTAGTGAGTAGTTCCACAAAACCATTTATTTACATTATTCTGCAGCAGCCATAAAGGGTTAATAACAAGTTAAGTTATTGCAGGAAGCAGCAGACTGGAGTGGTAAGAAGACCAATGTTGTTTCCTAGGTCTAACAGAAAGCCTTCATGTCAGTCATTAACAAAAATACCTGATAGTTTGTTATGATTTTTTGACGGTATTCCCGATGCCTTTGAACCTGTTTGAAATTTGAAATATTATGAAAACTATTGTAGTGAGAACAAAAGATAAAATAAAAGGAGAACCATAGACCTTATATACAGGATATCGCCCATTAGGAAATGCATCATTTCACACAAAATGCTGAACATGATGTATGAAAGTGGATGGTTATGTGATGGCAAGTTACAATTGATTATGCAGAAGGACATAAAACTGCATAACTAACATAGAAAGGAGGATTTCCATATCTCTCTATCTCTCTTTCCTTCCAATTTTTTTGTTATCTGACATTTCTCAATCAACAAGGTGGGGTCTCAAAACTTGAAAAGCCTTAATCCTGCTTAAGAATTGCAACCCTGTTGGAAGAAAGTCCATTTCAAGACCAATCCTAAAAAATAGAATTATAGAAGTTTCCTGTTATCTTTATAATTTTTGATCCAGTGATCATATTGGATTGAACAACAAATACCAACAGCAACTCTCGGATAAGAAAAACTTCTACATTTTTCAGCACAATACAATTACCACACTAACAACTGAATTTAAGTTAACAAGCAAATCTAACAATCAAGCAGTCAAATGATAAAACCCTAAGATGGATAGTTTTCGACAGGTAATGGTTATACTAATGCAGCTGGATTTGCCAGAAGACAATGAAGTGAACGCAAAAGAAGCAGCAGAATAAGGTTCAATCAAATTGGAGCTCATTCTTCAGTACTTTAACCAATTCCATTGGAAGTTTAAACCTCCAGAACTGCAACTGGTAGGGATTTCAGCAGAGACGATGATCCATACGCGTATAATAAATACCCAAAGACACACAGATATAAATGCAAACAAATGTAGGTAAATGCTTACGCGATTTCGTTCACCCTCGGGAGAGTACCGCAGGAGAATATCGCGCATGTACTTGAGCTTGGCATCGCGGGAGACGGCGAGCATATACGGAGGCAAGTAAGGCTCAAGGGAGCTGAAGAACAGGGGACTGAAATCCAGTTGCAGGTCGTCGTAACTATCGGGCTTGTGCTCAGTGTTAGGGTTCAACCTCAGCCGGTGCATCGCCACGTTAGGTAAAACGGAGACGCCATTACGGTTGTGTCCAGTGGTCGCCTGCGCTTGCTGTTGCGGCTCCTTTCTAGCAGCATCGAGAGACATGCTTAGGTCTTTCTTCTTCTTAGTGTTTTTTTCCAGTGAGAGAAATCGGGAGGAGATGGAGAAATTCAGAATGAAGATTGGAGGGGCATTTTGGGGATTGAGCTTGAAGTTCTGCAACTAGGGTTTCCTGAAAGAGGAAGAAGAGGTGATCGTGTTTTGCAGGTTAGGGTTAGGGTTAGGGTTACGGTTTGGTGTGTTATGGAAGCGGGGCCCAAAAAATGTGGGGGTAGTTTTGCCAGCACCAGGGTTGCCCATCCTGACGTTTTATTCTTTTTAAAATAATTTTGATATAATTTTTTTAGTACAAATTAACGTGCCAAATAAATAATTAATTTTTTTATTTGTGTGATTAATAATATTTAATACATCTATTTATTTATTTAATGATTTATAAAAATTGTATCAAAAGATATATAAAAAAGTTATTTTAGCACCACTTTTTTTTTTTTTCAAAAATGCTCACTTAGATATATTTCCATTTTAATTTATTGACTTATTGTTATTAAAAAAATTATCTATTGAGAACAATCTCGTGGTTTAGTGGTTTATTTATTTATTTTTGTTACTATTATGTTTGTAAGATGAATTATACAATAAAGTTATATTCTTATTTTTATTTTTTTTTAACATGGGGAATTAAATTTTTTCAAATAGAGAATGGAAAATTTTTTCAAATTATTGGTTTTATTTGAACTCTAATCAATTAAATTTAAGCACAAAAACTTGATGATGTATCATTGGACCGAAGATCGGATTAAAGTTATATCCTTAGTTAAAATTTTAAGTTTTAGAGATTTTAAATTTAAGTTTTAAAATAAATATAAAGGATTGAAAAGAAAAAAATATTTTTAATAGTATATATCATCTATCATTTAACATAATAAAAAAAAAGTACAACTAAGTTATAAGTAACCTTTTTAAAGAAAAGTAAATTTTGATCCTTTTTTTTATCCATTTTAAAAGTAGAAAACTTAAACAATAAAAACATAACTTAATATATATAGTGTCTCATTTTGTTTTAAATTTAAATAAAAAGATGAATTTCAAGGGTGTTTGGCAAAATTTTAAAAATATTTGCTTTACAAGTAAATTTTTCTTTTACAAGTTTAAAATGTTATGGATAGTAAATTCAAAAATTAATTTTTAAAGATGTTTTTAAGTATATTGGAAAAAAAAAAGTTACATATTCAAACTTTTTTCAAACTTATTTAAAACCACTTGTAAAAGCTAATTTTTGTTTTCTCTCTCTAGTAAAATCTTAAATTTAAGAAAAAAAATAATTTTTAAACAAGTGATTTTTAAATTTTATCAAACACCTTCTTTTTTTTTTTTGTTGAGTTTTGTTGCAATACTACGGATTCCCTATTTGGAGCTCTATTAAAGCGCCCTTTTTTTTTTTTTGGTAATTTAGTCAAGATCAAACCAATTCTTACATAATTTGAGACTAATCCCTTCTTCTCCCAAGCATTTTTAAAAAATAGGCTTTGCACACGCTCCACATTGGCCTCATAACCAATTCATTAAAGAAATTAATTTCTTTTTCTTGTAAATCCCAAAATTTGAACCATGAGCTTAACTTATAAAAAAAACTTATTTATCAGTATATCCAATCTTTTTAGACAACATGCTTATTTAATAATAGATATCAATGATGTGTCACTTAAGTCTGTCCCTTCAATTCAGTTAAAAACAAACAAGTAATGGAACTAATCTAATGGCTGTAGACAACAGGGAGTAGAAGAGGATAAAACACAACCTTTGACCTAACCTGCAGTTTACAAAATAACTGTGACCTACCATATTGGAAGATATACATACTGTGAACCATAGCGGTTGTAGAAACACAAAAATCAGTAACATGTAAAAAGTATCTGCTGTATTGCTCTAACTATCTCTGTATTCATACCATAACACCTTTGTAACCAGTACTGTACCACCTATGATGCACATGAACTTGAATTGTTTATGTTCCAACTCTATCCTTTCTACTGACTGTACTCATCTTTTGCAAATTCAGCAACATTCCTCAAGGAGCTTGCTTTGTTGATGCTGACAGATCTATGAATTTGTGAAATTAACCCCTGCCTTTGAGGGCCTGCCATCAGATTACCTCTGTTCATCAGCTGTAATGTCGATCCATGGTTCAGTAGAGGCTGCTGTTCAAATTGTTGTGAGCTAACTTCAGTTAGATGGGAACTTGCGTACTCGGTTGAGCTGGCTGGAGCTTGGGTCTGGAGAGGAAATCTCATTTGATGCTGATTTAGTATCTGTTGCTGATTTGTAAGTGGTTGTGGTGGCTGCCTCTTGTTCAAGATATGTGCCATATCTGAAAAAGTAGGTGCCCTTGGCACTACACCAGCTTCTTGCTGAAATAGAATTCCTTTCATCAAGGTTTTCCTTTCGCTCTCTGCTGTTGTCAGACTTATAGGAACTGCAGCAGACTGATCAGGTATGACGCCACCAATATTGTCAGATAGGCCAAAATTGCCAATGCACGGGATTTGTGTAGCACCTTTAATGAGCGTAGAACCCTCCATGCTTAAAAAGTCACCAAATAGACCAAGACCCCCACTTCCACCACCCAACTGTATTGTACCCATGCCACCCATACTGGCACCCAAACTCTCCACCATTAACTTTCTCTGCATTAATTGCTGTTGCAATTTCTCTCTTTGCATCATCTGAAAATGTAAATGAGCACGTTTGCTCAGAACCTCCTGCCAGTGTGGTTGAGCAGGGTTGACCAGAGCAGCTACATCAAGTACTGGTTTGGATAAGATGCCACCTGGGAGCTGTAGCGTTTCCTGGGAGTTTACAGTGTGGAGATGGTCTCCAGCAAGAGCATTAGGGAGTGGTTGTCCTGCTGACATTGTGTCAGTCAGGGCAGTGGGCAAGGTAGGTGATAAACCACAGGTGACAGTCGAGGAAGGTAGCTCAAGTGTTCTTCCGGCTGTCTGAGTGGCACTGCTAATGGTAACAGTAGGTTTTTGACTGCTTGAGGAATGAATTGCATTGACAGGAATAGGTACCACTGTATCAGAAACTAAGCGATATCCTTCACGTGCCATCTGTTTGAGACAAACAAAAAATAATAAAAAAAATTGTTCAATATGGTAAAAGAGAAAACAAACAACTCTTTCTCAAAGAATATCCAACATATTGAACCTACCAGGGAAGTAAACTGAGTGGTGAACAGGTTAGCAAAATGCTGCAAACGCAGATGCACGAAGGTCAGAATGGTCAAACCAAACAGAAAATTCAATTTATAGACTGCATGTGCTGACATATTAATGAATATCCCACTGATATGCAGACAAAAAAAGGATGTTCCAAATTAGAGACAATACCATAACGTGATTCAGAAACAGAGAAGACATTTATTGCCTGCTTTCAAAAAGAAACAAAGATGACATCCTCCATGAACATTGCAGGATGAGTTGGTGGTGCAAAAGGCAGAAAAAATATAAACCCATAATTCCATGTCATCGAAGTACTCATACATTCGACGTAAAAGAAGAAACAGATTTTAAAACTTGAAAGCCAGAATTGATAAATATCAAGTAGAATAGATGAAGCTAAATTTCAAGAATGACCTGAATTTTCATCCCCAATAAAAGATTGCAAATAAGGAACTTAACAATATGAAAGGGAAAAAACTCAAAAAGAATTACATCTAATTTATATAACCCAAAGGGTTTCCACCAACATAAGACAAAAATGAAAATGGATTAGTTTTGAGTAGGAGCACAAACTGTGTTAGGAAAGGTGAGCAGGAGAGGCAAGTCAGTCTCTTCTTGTCCATAAAGCAACCTTGCTTCCACCATTCTATCATTAAGTTTCTCTGACATGAGCATTTTAATCTGGGGCTCAGCATCAATTTTGGGGGTCTCAACTCCTGAGATTTAAAAAAAAAAAAAATGCTCAGCAAAAGAAGGAGAAGATTTCCAGTTGATGCTAAGCAAAAACATTTCTTTACCATGACAGATGTGAGGTGGATACATGTATATTAATATCCTTGTCTTCGGGACATTTAGCCTCCTATCTATGAAGCAATTAGGCAGCGGAGTCCTCTCCATCATCAGATCTTTCTGCTTTCCATTCTCACTGTCATCTTCATGCTTTGAAGCAACCAGAGGAAACATGCAGGAATATGGTTTGCCTGGTAAAAGCTGGTCCAATTTACGCTTCCTATTATTCAGTTGATGCCTGAATGAATGGAAAAGCAATGTTAGTCATCAGAAGCCAACATGATCACATAAAGAAAAATCTCATATATAGTACCATAATTTGCTACCTTTGAGTCACCCTCTCAATCTTCAAAAACCTCTGAAGGAGTTGGTAGCAATGACCTTCTGAATTTGGAGGTAAATGAACACTACCCCTTGAAATGTTCCTTGCATTGGATGCACTGAGATTGGTAGTGCCAGCTAGTGCATCCAAGGTTCCCACACTCAAGCCTTTAGAATGGGAATTCTTCCTTTGCTTTGCAGGTGCAGATGCCTCTCTTTGCAAAGCTTTCCTTTTCTGTTCTACCGCTTCATCTCTCAAATTTCTGACAAGAGGATGCTTGAAGCCAGTCCCAAGTGAGATGCTAGAGGGGGTATTGGCTGATAACAGTGGGGATGATTGCAGATTACATGGATTATTCCTAATATCCATCATGAAGTGCTTTTCCTTTAGACAGAGAACATCTGACATAAGAAAGGTATTTGTCTTATTAGGCTCCTGTTTCACCATGGAAGCAGGGATTGCATCCTGCAGTATTGGAATACCTTCAGATGCCTGCTGATAACCTTTTGTGGATGACAAGGGGTAGCCTTCTTTGTATAGTATTCCATATTGGTTTTTTTCAGGATCAGTGTTCTGGTATGATACGCTATTCTTCCACTGTAGCTTGAATGCAGGACTGCTTGGAGCTGGAATCCCTGGAAGCTGATGTTGGTAGAAGTATCCAGAGTCAATGCCATCAGCTTGACTGCCAGGACGTTGATCTTGAGATAAATCAATTGGCTCCTGCTTTGGTTTCTTCATAATAGGTCTTTGTGTTGCTTCTGTTTCATACCTGTCTGTCTCAGCAGGAACTAACAAACTGGTTTCTTTCATATCCTTTTCACAGTTACTAATATACTGTTTTTGTACAGAGACAATAGCAGCTGAGGTCGGCAATTTCTTAGGTGATCTGCTGCAACTATTTGCTAATGGATAGCTTACCATCAAAGGATCAGATGGTGAACATGTAATGTTATTCTCAGGTAAAGTTTGAACAGATATTGAAACAGCTTGCTGTGAACATGGGAATGGTTTAGCAGGATACCCAAGACCAGACACGCAATTGGAATTTTGGCTTTGGTAACCACCAGTAGCAGTAGTTGCTGGTTTTGGTCCATCACTCAGCCTTCTTTTCTTCCAACCCGAGGAAACTCCCAAATTGAGCTGCAATAAATTACTAGAATAAGCAAATATCCCATGGTGAAATTCCAAAATGCATCTATAAGCAGTATGGTTAACCTCACCAAAACACAACTGGTCATTCAGATCTAGAGTTATTTAGTGCTGGAAAAAATAATTTCTAAACTGGAAAAACTAATATTTTGGAAAAAGTGAAATGCCACTGAAAGCAAGCAAAGTTAACATTGATGACCTAGAATTTTGCAAAAGTACAGAAGCTTAGCAATAAGTTTTTACTTCTTTTGCAATGAGGAAAAACGATTGTAACTGCAAGTTATGGCATCTCGTCATAGGCCCTCAAATTCAAAATATGGAGAATATTACTGCAACTGTAAGATTTTAGCATGTTACCTTCTTCATCAGGGGTTTTCCAGGATATTTCTCAAGCAACAGATTTGGGTTCAGATTAAGTTCTGGCTGCAAAGCCTTCAGAATGCGGGACTCAACTACCTACAATGAGAAGAGCACAGTAGAATGAATAGGAAATTATGCTTCCAACAAACATGAGAATCTGTAAAATGCTAACTAATCAAACTCTTTTACCAGCAGATCTTCATAGCTCCAGGAATCATCTGATAATGATAACATGTCCTTAACAACAGTCTCCATGCACATCTGCAGGAGCACTCTATGAATAACTGGAGACTTAACCGTACTTGGCCTCTGAGATGAACAATTACGATAATCTCGTATCTGGAAATAATGCTTGTAACATGGTTAGAGTACAATAAAAAAATATCTTAGAAACTTCACCCTCCAACATGTGGTAAACTCTCTAAAATAGCGAGGAAAATCCATTGCAAGTGAAACAATTATTATTGAGTCTAATACCTAACTTAATTTAGCAATATTGTATCTAGATCTAAAGATTAACACAGGCAAAAATCTGGTTTTACTCCTGCTCATAATTACTACAGTCTGTAGGATTACAGGAACTCTCATCTAACAAGCATCTCAGATTTCTGCATGGCAGGAAATGCATGAAGAGTAACAAATCTGAAACATCTCTAAAGCAGAATTCACCTCTACTGCTTTAGAGTGCTAGCTTATCATGCTGTCCAGGCATCAGCCTTGCTCTCAAGACGAAAAGGAAATTCCCTCATCTGGCTTTCAAATTCTCATGTTTACAGCCAGTGAATGGATAAGTTAAAAGATACCAGAAGAAACAGAAGAAAACAATTGCTCATCACATTTCTCCAGTTGAATATGTGAAATAACTTCTTTCCCATAAACCAATGAAATTGCTTCAATAAAACAATTACTCTCAGCTAAAAGACAATTTTCACAGGTTTCATGGGCCAACATGATGATCTTATCATACAAATTTGTTTTACCAAAAGAAATCATTGAAAGGATGAGCTTGCTGAGAGCTCATGTTCTAAGGCCATAAATATCAGATAAGGACAGTTCAGTCTATATTATGATCATTATATGCACAAGTACACATCTTGCAAAGAATCTAACTGTGCCATTCACAACAAAAAGAACCAAATCATCAACATGAAACATCACCATTTATGCACTAAAATAAACACAAATTTGATAAATTTCATATTCTTGTGTCTATATGCTCATTCATTTGAGTGATTTCAAAAAAGACCAAAATCACCAAATCACAATGCATTAATTTTTATCACATACAAATCAGTAATTTTTACATCACCTCACATAGAAGAGCTCCATTTACATACTTGCAGGGCATATTTTCAAAAACATCTCCAGGCAACCACCCGTACTCGATTGCCTAAACAAAATAAAATAAAATCTACATTGAAAAAGGAAAAAAGAAAGGAAAATAGAATGTAAAAAGTCTGCAGCTTGCTTAGGTGTGCAGAGAATATACTCTGAAAATCACTAACAGCTGCAAATGTGTGTAGTGAAAGAAAAGGAAAAAGAAAAAGTATGCAGCCTGCTCCATGATGCAGAAATTATTATGTTCTAAAATTTACCATTGAGTAATGGTTGCGGATGCATATGGTGAAAAAAGGAAGCCAAATGTATACTAAATATTTTATTTTATAGCATTGACATTGAAAGTTCAATATCAAATAATGCTAAAAAATTCAGGTACTATAGATTACTCTAGTTGAATGGCCTCTAGCCTCTTCCTGAGGACAGAGCCTACGTGCAAATTCATGACATTGTCCATATTTCTAAGATAAGTATTGGAAACTACTTTATTTGAATGGTTTATTATGTTATGCATGAATTAAAAATGAACATTCTTACAGTGAAAAGTGTCTCCGATGCTCTATCATAAGGATGTAACTTCTTTGGTACATCATTGAAAATCTGCATGGATAGTGATTCCATAAACATGCAAGTAATCACTCAATGAAATAGAGCACAATTAACACAAAAAATAAAGAACACTCTAAAATCTTTCTGGTAAAGATATTCAAAGGTTTCTTAGTTTCAGATGCTGACCTCAGTATCTTTCCCAACAGAAAAGCCATCTGTGAATAAATTAACTGAGAAGGACACCTGAAAATCTGCATTAAAATATCCTGTCAGACATACAGTGCTCACTGTCACAACATCACATAGTTACATCACAAAAACCAGATGCATTACCCTCTGAATGCAGTTCAGGTTTGGCCAAATAATCTGTCTGACCAACATCTTTTTCTCCCATTGCAGTGACATTGCCCTGCAACAAATGGTGGTCATTGTAAGTTTGATTTCAGCACCTTGTGCAATATATAACAAACCATTTAGAAATAAAGTTGCTTACACCATTATGCCATCTAAATGGAGGTGCTGTAAGTTCCTCATATTTGATGTGAAATGTGAGAATATCTAATTAAAGCAAATTATGGAAATTTTATAAGGTGGCTTCCGTTTAATTTACAAATTTCTTTCCCCTTCAAGAGTCTTTGGATTACAGAAACCCAGGCCACAAAATTGCTGCCGGGTTTTTCTGGTGTACATATTTCCAATTCTTAAAGGCTCAGATTTTTTTTTTTTTTGATCAGCAAAGGATCAGACATATTGACCAAACAAAATGAAAGCATAGCAAATAAAAGTATACAGTAAAGACTATAACATATCTATATACTTTGAAAAGACACATATAACTACAATAGTAAAGCAATTTTCAAGTCAACAAAGTGATTGGAAGTAACATCAAAATTCCCACGAGCTTAATCCCAGAATAACTTGGCTGGGCCTTGCCTTGCCTTAACATGAAGACTATTGAAATGCCATCCAAAAGCAATTGACATAGCTAACGAAAGCCCAAGCTTTTCTACCATCAACCATGTAAGCATTGAAATTACACAGGTTTTTTCACTGGGTTAAGTCCAAGTGTCCAACTTTAGAGTGTTTAGTAATTTCTAAAAACATTCAGTATTTAAGAAAAAATTATTTACTGAATTTGCTTGTGTAAAACTAAAAATCTAATCAATCAGATGCTTTAAAACCCATTGCTCAAACAGAACAAAAAATGGAAAAAGATTAAAAGAATTCCGATTATGAATCGCATGGTTAATGAAATGATGAACAACCATATATTCATAGAAATACAAACTAATTAGGGGCTCCGAAGAGTGTTACATGATTACCTTGTTTCTTCCACTCAGCTCCCAAGTATCAACTTACTTAGCAATTGCCCCAAAGAGTATGCATTTCCCCAGTCCCAAAATAGTACAACAACAAAAAATAATAATAATAATTCTGAAATGCAAAACCAATCTACAGAAAATTGGAGAAGACCCAAAATTCCCAAATAGACTTAATGTTCAACTTTCACATGCTGAATCTCATAAAACACAAAAACAACATCTTTCCATGTCAAGAAAACAAAACCCCATCAGTTAAAACCACTAAAAATATGAGAAAATCCAGCAGCAGTCAACATTAGCACCTTCAGACACCAAATTACAAAGCCAACAGATGGAGGAAGTTACAAAAAATAATAATAATAAAATTATCAAATAGTAAAGAATTTGAAACAGTTTAGAATCATCAAACACATATACCTCTTTACATCCCTGCTGGGTATCATCATCAGAAAGGGACCCATTTCCATGGTCTTTGTCTTCAATCTGCCCCATCTTTGGCCCATACCTCGTACCGGCCTTTGCAACCTTAAAAGACACACCCATATTCCTCAGGAACCTCACCAAACACCTTCAATTCTAGTTCTAGAAAGCCAGAGAGCATAGGCTATGTGCCCTAGAGTAGGAGAAGAACTGTTGTCTGAGCACAGGCAGTGTACATTCAAAGGACCGGGGTTTTTGTTTGGGGTCCTGATTTATGGCTGGCCATCTTTGCCATGAAGTTCAACACGTAGAGCAGTGGTTTCAGGATTAGCCCTCAAATTTTGAGTAATTTACTAGCGTGCCTTTTCTCTGCAGTTTTATTTTATGGGAATTTTGTCGTGGTTTCCTAAAAAATAAAAAAATAAAAAATAAAAAATCAAGACCTCTTAAGGTTGAAAACATTCGTCATAATTATTATTATTATTTTTTTTTTTTGAACATATTTGCAAGGGGTGGGTTTCGAACCTAGCCGAGGAGGAAGAAATGCACCGAGTTGACTATTGCCATTAGATCGTAAGGATTAGGTGCATTCGTCATAATTATTATTATTATTTTTTTTTTTGAACATATTTGCAAGGGACGGGTTTCGAACCCAGCTCGGGGAGGAAGAAATGCATCGGGTGGCTATTGCCAATAAGTCGTAAGAGCTAGGTGCATTCGTCATGATTATTTATTAAGCAAATTGAATAAAAATGTAATGAAATTATTTATTAAGTAAATTTTTTATTAATATTTACTTAACAAATGATTGTGATAAGATATTTTGGTTTTGTCCCTGAAGAACCCAAAAGATATATTATTGACACCTTTTTGCTAGATTTTTATTTGCATGAAAGAAACGTGTTGGACATTTATTAAAGCTGGGATTTTGACCTTTTCTATATATAATAATTTTAAGAAAAAAGAAACTCTGCTAATTAATTGTTCAGAATTTTTTTTCCTTGAATTTATTCAACCAAACGATTTTTTTTTTTCTTTTGTACTTAGGCCTTCGGGTCTAGTGGCATCAAGTTATGTATAAGTGCATTTCCCATCTTAGGGTAATAGTTTGAATCCGACTCCTTGTAAGTTTGTTAAAAATAAAAAGAAAAAATGATTCATTTGTTCTATATAGTAGTAGTTAGATATGAATTGATTATTATTTTATCCCATCTGAGTCTTAATGAATAATCTAATTCAGTTTAATTTATTTAAGTTTGACAGTATTTTAGGTAGAGATTAGATATTAAATTTTAAATTTGTAATTAAAAATATAAATATTTTTATTATTATATTACATTACTAATGTTGATAGTACTATATTTTAGAGATACTTCATCAATATAAACAATAATTTTTAGATCACATTTTATGCAAGATATAAATAGTCAGTGTCAGATCCATGTTGGGGAGAGATTGGGCATGGTTCCTACTCTTTCTCAAAAAAATTTTATGATTTTAAAGGTTTATGATTGTAAGGATATAACTATTAAAAGAAAATAATATTCAAAACCTTTTAATTTTAAGCCTTGTTAATATAAAAATACAATAGGTCCTACTCAATAAGAGTAGGATTATTATTACATCATAAATAGTTAATAATACACTTTCTTAATGTAATTGTTCTCTTAATGTAATTGTTTATCACATCATTTTATTACACTATTCCTCAAAATTCTTTTTCTAATTTCTTAATAAATTAACAAGTATGATAATTAATTAAAATAAAAAATATGTGTCATTAATAATTGATAGTGTAACAATAACATCAGTCACCCAAAATTAATCTTGATTCTACCCTAAAATAGCTATTTAAAAAAAAAAATGTTACAAGTAAAATGGAAAGGAATAGATGAAAAAGTTTACCAAAAAGAAAATTTAGGAAAATTTAGGATATATTGATATTAAAAATATTAAAATATTTGATTATAATTATTAAATGTGTAGAATATAGTGTAACCTTAATTTCATTAAAATTTATTAAATTTATTATGTGATTATTATTAAATATTTTGATATTTTTAATGTTAAAATCACTTAACCTTTTATTTTCTCAAAAAGTTTGTATGGATAGAATTATCAAAGTGCAAGTGTGGTGGGTTTATAGTACAAAGGATAATTGATTAATACATTATTAAATTTAATATATTCACTAATATTTATTTGTTTAATTATTAAATTTTATAATTAAAATTGTTTATTTTAAATTTTAATTTAAAAAATAAATTTAAATTTAAGTTTTAAAATAAATATAAAGGATTGAAAAGAAAAAAATATTTTTAATAGTATATATCATCTATCATTTAACATAATAAAAAA